ATCTATCTATCTATCTATCTATCTATCTATCTATCTATCTATCTATCTATCATCTATTCAACTTATATGGTTTCCCATCTCAAATTCATGGCTCTGGGTGGCTAACAATTAAAAATTATATAGAAAGCAAAGAACAATACAAAAAACATGCACGTACACTCAGCAACCATGGTACAAAAACCAACAACAACAATTAACACAGCCACTGCACAAACTCTACCACACATCTGGATCCCCAAGCCCGATGGCAGACCCACATCTTTAAGACCTTTCAAAAAGCCATCAGGGATGGGGCCAATCTAATCTCCAGGGGAATGCTGTTCCAAAGGGCAGGCACCATGACAGAAAAGACTCTTATCCTGGGCCCTGCCAGATGACATTCCCTATTAGATGGGACCCTAAACGTGCCTTTTCTGCCAGACCTGATGGGACAGGTAGATGTAATTAATAAGTACCTAGCAAATAGTGCAATCATCTTTAAAAATGCAAATTAGAGGTATCCATCTGATTTTTTGGAAAAAAAATTTCCATTGTTGCCTTGGAACGTGCAGTACAACTTCAATTCACTAGGTTTCATTTTGCCACAATGAATAATACCTTGTTCATTTGAAATTAACACCAGCCAATTTATACAGAAAAGAACAAACCAGTTTGTGTTCTAGTCATAGTCTTTGTTAGCACAGCCGGAGTATACTATAAAGTGATTTAGAAAAAAAGTCTGCATGTACAAAGACAAATAAATCCTCATTCTAAAACAGAATGTTCAGTCCATTGTTAGTTCCGAGGAAATCTGAACATCTATCAATCATCTTTTCACTGCTGTTCAGTATAAATGTGTAGCACTGGTGAATGGTACTCAGAGGAGCTCAGTATTTAACTTGTAATAGGGTATATCAAGGAGAAGACGAAAAAATTGGATCAGTCTCACTTTGCCTGGGACTAGCATAGGCAGGAACTAGAGATCTTTGTTTGAAAATAAAACTGAAATCCTTGATAGGCTTGCTTGAAATAGCCATGTAAAAATAGTATTTTTAATAGAAATATGGGATGGGGAGATTCAAATCATACTATCTAGCCATGTTGCTGTTCTTCAACTCTTTCCAGTGAAAAGAAACACAGTGTGGGCCAGGATTCCAGAAAGCCAGTGTGAACATATATCACTGTACATGCGTAACTTCAAAACATGCTGCCAGTAAGAGGGGATGGGGATCAGACACCTCAGTGTTGGAAAATCATTCATTCAAGATGTGGAAAGAAGTTAGAAAGGCCTCTTTCAAAGAAAGCCTTAAGAGTCACCCTTATTCAGGCTTCACTGTTCATTAAACTATGGCCACACTTTAAGCAAACTCTATGAAATGGGCTTCTCATGTTCTAAAAAATTATGCCTGGCTATCCAAGTGCTTGCTTTGTGCTCACAAAGTATGAATATTATAATAGTGCAAGTGATGCTGTACTGATAGGAGAAAATGCATCATTTAAATTATGTGAGTTTCCATCTAAAACTATTTTCATACTATTTCCCTATGGTAATAACCTTTATTTCCTTTATTATTTGCTTCTTCATGAAATTTTGATTTCTGTTTCTTTCTCCCTCAGCAACAGTTCTCATTTTCTTCCTGGCTGATTAACATGGCTACCATCTCTTTTTTCACTCTAATATATTCACTTTCCTTACTCTTTGTTAATCAACTCACCAATCCACTAGGCCTGGTTGATAATTACTTCTAGATAACCAGTCCTATTTACACTATATTCTTTTACTTTTAGATGGATGAAATGCAGTGGGGCAAAGGAGTGAAGAAAATCCCCTCTTCTGTCTGCAGTCTTCCCTGTAAAGCAGGAGAACGAAAAAGGATTATGAAAGGGATGAGCTGCTGTTGGCAGTGTGAACTGTGTGATGGATACCAATACCAGTTTGATGAAGTGAGTTGTAAGCTGTGCTCCTACAATCAACGGCCAAACGAGAATCGCACTGGATGTAGTCCTATCCCAATTGTGAAGCTAGAGTGGCATTCACCGTGGGCGGTCATCCCAGTCTTTCTGGCCATGCTTGGAATTATTGCCACCATATTTGTCATGGCAACCTTCATTAGATACAACGATACTCCCATTGTGAGGGCTTCTGGAAGGGAACTTAGCTATGTTTTGTTGACAGGAATATTTCTGTGTTATATCATCACTTTCTTAATGATTGCCAAACCAGATGCTGCCGTGTGTTCTTTCCGGCGTATCTTCTTGGGATTGGGAATGTGCATAAGTTACGCTGCTCTGTTGACTAAAACAAACCGTATCTATCGCATATTTGAACAGGGCAAAAAATCAGTGACAGCACCCAGGCTTATTAGCCCAACATCACAATTAGCAATCACATCAAGTTTGATATCGGTACAACTTCTCGGGGTTTTCATTTGGTTTGCTGTTGATCCACCAAACAGTATTATAGATTATGATGAACATAAGTCTATGGAACCAGATCAAGCCAGAGGCGTTCTCAAATGTGACATTACGGATCTACAAATCATATGCTCTTTGGGGTATAGCATTCTCCTAATGGTTACATGTACTGTTTATGCCATCAAGACTCGGGGTGTCCCAGAGAATTTTAATGAAGCCAAACCCATTGGATTCACTATGTACACTACATGTATAGTATGGCTTGCCTTCATTCCAATATTTTTTTGCACTTCCCAAGCAGCTGAAAAGGTAGGTGAAAATCAAGTAATTTATACAATCATTACATTTTAAAATATGAAGGAGTGTTGAAACAGCCTTCTGGATATGGGAAAAAATGTTTGGATAAAAATGGTTGGTAAACACTTCTGCTATACAAAATGTTGGTATTGTTTTTCCGGTAATTAGGTGAAGGTAATAGTGATGATGGTGATTGACGAAGTGGTGAATAATCACTAAGAATCACTTAATCCACTAGTTCCATGGTTGTATCTGATTCAGCCACACTTAGAATGTAGCTGTTATTTCAGTATGAGAGCCAATGTATGGCTTAATCAGCTTGTTTGCAGAATGTATTCTTAATGTCGCTCAAAAATCATTTTGTTCAGACTGACATTTTTCAGCTTAGACAAAGTGAGAGCAAAGGGTTGCTAATAGCTGTGGTATCCGTTTCTCAAATATTACTAAAGCCATTGCTGAAATTATACACACTGAATCAACCTTATTAATATGAATCAAGCATACTTAACAATAAGTAGTAACATCTGGCAACCTCTTGTTGCTGTGAAAAATACTGTATTGCATTTCTGGATTTAATAAAAAGAAGAAGGTTCATTTATGTTAATTTTAAGTTATACCAATGGCAGTCCAAGGCTGACTACTTAGATCTTCTTGGGATCTTATACAGATAAAAACAGTAATAATACATGTATTCAGTGAACAAGCATCTCCAAGCATAGTATTTTATACTTCGCCTGTGGCAATTTCAAACAAATAATTGCATTAGAAATGTATTAAATGAACAAATAAATGGGTAACAGTAAATAAATGTCCAGGTAATTAAAAGAGATGAACCACCAGATGGGCAGAGACTAAAGAGAACCATGACCAACCATATGTCATGGTTGAATTGAACTGTCCTGACAGTTTTTCACTGCAAAATTTACATATGATGTATTAGAATATGGGTTTCTGTAATATACCTTATTCTTCTCACTCCTTATTTTGTGATGAAGTTCAAGCAATAAAACCAAGAGGCATATTAAGGTATTTTGTATCCCCCGTATCTGAAACTAGGAATTGGGAATGATGTAGTTCCGCGCTAGATGTCATATGTTCATTGTAATGCCTTCTACAAGTATCTGCAAGTACAATGTAAACATGTGCAAGGAGAATACTTCCTTTTGAGTACAGCTGTAAATATGGAGGGTACCATTCACCTTATATCATACTGTACATATATATGTGAAGGCCTTCTACCTGTACTTTACATGCAGACATATGCAGGGGTAGCTATATTGAATGTGCAGCTCTGGAAATGAAGGTCCACAACCCTGAATTGTGTTCCATAGAAAGAGGCAACTAGGTGCTGAATTCATATGCTATAGGGTATGCATATTACAGGGGTACCAAAAAAAAAGTCTCTGTCTTATTCTCTATCTATATGAATTAAATAACAAAATGTAGGCAATGGAAATCATGCTCTCTCCTACTTAATTCATATTTCCCAATTTAAATTAAATAGAATTGAACTCTGTGCAGTGAGGACCATGAAACTGTTCAGGTCCCCAGCAACATCTAATGGGGCCCAAAACCAAGAAATAAATGAGATAGCATCCTTTAAAAAAGTACACTGAGTCCCATCCAATATCACTTAATCTATTGTGCCACATACTTCCTAGAAGTCTTCCAAATTACTTCTGGAGGTCATTCCAATACTCTGGAGCACGTTTGAGAAGAAGAATCTATTCTCCTGATGATTTCCACTCTTGACAAGCAGCATTAAATACAACTCCACGTCTGTTACTGTGCATTTAGATAATCACTAGTTTGCTTAATGCCCCTGGTTAATGTTAATCTTCTCTTCTTTTATATAAGATTAAGTTGCTAATTTTGTTTCTCTGCCAGCCTCCAGGTCCAATTAGAAATGTGGGGCAGGGATATCTCCTTTGTACTGAGTTTGTTATATCTCAGTGAGAGAAAATTATGCAACTTCCTTGAATAACATTGTTCATTTTGTGCACAGTTATAAAGTATCTTTTGATAGCTAACCAAAACCTATTTTGCAGTCAATTTACTACACTGAACATTCTGTTATCCCAGTAGCTCTAGTTCTATGGCTTGTCTTCTGAGCATGTATTTGATTTCAGACAGCACCTAATAGAGAGGTAGTGATAGAAGCAAAGCACACATTGTTCAGGTTAATACATGTCACAGGGACACAGATGACCCTCTTCTTAAATGCACTGATCCATCCTTTTTCAAAAGCAATGTAATTACTTCTTAATCTGGACTTCTGCAGTTTATTTGAGTGCACATCTTTTTGACTTCAAAATGCAATTGCTGATCATGCTTCAGTAACACTATAAATTATTATAAGAAAAAACTGTCCTTTCTACCCCAAAATGTTGCTTAAAGGAATTGTTTTTTGTAAAGCAGATAAAAACAATATTTGAATAATTCTTAAAATAACAGTTTGGGCTGCCTTTAATGCATTATTATTAAAGGTTGCATTATTACATATGCTTCATGGAAAAGCAATAAAAAAAAATTGGACAAGAAAATTTGGAAAATAAAGTTAAGCAACTGTTAGGTATATATGCAACACAACCTACACTAGAACTATATAAAGCTTTTCTGTCTGCTAAATTAGAACTTAATTCCTTCTATGTGCATGATACTGAATATTCTTTAAATTACATAAAACAAAGATATTGGGAACAGGGGGAAAATATGTTAAATTATTGGCCCCTAAAATGAAACAGTAACAAGAATAATATTTATAACCTTAAGGATGGTTTGTTGTTGTTTAGTCGTTAAGTCGTGTCCGACTCTTTGTGACCCCATGAACCATATTGCGCCAGGCCT